ATTCAGTGTAGGAAGGTTGTATATTTCAAGGAACTTATCCATTTATTCTAGGTTGTTGAATTGGGTAAGATATAGTCTTTGTTTTCTAGTATGATTTTTTTCCATTTCTGTGATGTCTGTGGTAACATCTCTTTCATATCTTCTTTTGTTTCTATATGAGTAGTTGCTTTTTGTATTTTGTATCTGCAGGAGTTTTGGTCTGCATGGAAATCATCTCAAACTAGCTGCGGGCTGGAATTGAGACTGCTGACTGGAGGCGGCTTTTCCCTCCACTTCTGTGTCCCTTCTTGGGGAAGTATCTTCTCTCTGCACACTCAAAAGTATGCACGTTATCTAGAAATGGCCATGATCTCTCAATCCTATCTCCTCCTAAGATACAGCTAGAGAGCCTGGCCATCGTTTTGTATGGACTTTTAAAAGAATCTGAGAGGTTGGTGGCTCTATTCAAGATCATGTCCAAACAGCAAGAAGTGCCAGTTGATACAAACATGGCCTCCAAAGCCAAACAGTTAAGCAAGAGCAATAAATAGGGCAAAGTTCCAGGGAATGAGGGTTTGAGCTGGACAGAAGCCCCTACAGGACCTTGGATACATCCCTCCATCCTTTCAGTCTTATCTGCAAAGAGGATGCAGTGTCGTCCTGCCCAGGACATACCTTCAGGACTGCCAGGAAACAGCTCTCACCTGCCATCCTCTCTAGTTACTTTTCTGAGCAGAAGAGCCTCCTTGCCAACAGTTACATCCTCTTGCCAAAGACAGTCTGAATCCAATGACTGGTTGGTGTTGGGTTAAGAAGGCCTGTTTCCCAAAGTCCACCAGCAAATGCCAGGAGGAGGCTGCCAGTGAGCGGTTGGGCATCAGAGGTGGGTTTCTGTCCCAGTCTGGCACAGTCGCCACCAGGGAAAGCAAATGGGAAAAGGAAGTAACAAGAAAAGGAAACAGAAGTGAAAGGGGGAGGGAAAGGGCAACTAGCTGTCTGGCATTTGACAATGGATTGAAGGGAAAAAGCTCTCTTGTGTCACAGGTCTGGCTCTCTTGCAGTGGGAGGGGAGGGATGCGAGGCCCCAGAGCAGCCCGCTGGGCCCTGAGAGTGAGGGCACCGGTCCCACCACCCCAGTGGCTTTTCCCGCCTCACCTGTGGAAGCAGAGCACCTGGGCAGAGCCCTCTCTTCCTAGTGAGGGTGCACCTGGTCAAGGGAGGAAGAAATCATGGAATCTGCCAGCAGCTACCACTAGGCAGAACCCCCAACCCCAAGGACCAAGGCACCAGAATGCATCTCACTCAGCACATGTGTCCCACCAGAGGAAGGCCTTGTAAATGCAAAGAATGGGGAAAATTCTTCACCCACATCTCTATTTTCATTGAACACTAGAGAATTACCCCAGGGGAAAGCCCTGTAAGTGCACCATACATGGGCAATTCTTTGACCAAAGCTCCAGCCTTATTGCACAGAGTTGACACTAGATAAAAGCCTCCTAATTGCAGTGACTTGGAAAATCCTTTAGCCAAAGCTCCTGCCTCGTTAACTTTCAGAGCGTTCACACTGAACCAAGACCTTATGAGTGCAGCGAATGTGGGAAAGCCTTCAGCCTAGGGTCTCACCTTACCTGGCACCAGAAAGTTCACATGGAGCCAAACCATAGAGGTGCAGGGAATGTGCAGTTTCCTTGTTCACTATGAAACTAGAGGAGAGCCTTTGTGAGGAGAAATCTTCCTGAAGTTGGATCTTATACCTGAAAATACACAGCAGGGAGATTTCCCCAAGTTCCAATTATGTGGCAAGGTTCTGGAGCTGCACTATACTTCATAAGCTGCCTGGGGTCCCTGCCAAAATTATGTCACTGCCAGTTTGAATGGCACAAGTCATCTCAGCCCTGCCACTTAGGGGGATAGGTCCCCATAATTTTTTAATAAGGGCCTGGCATTTTTGTTTTGCATAAAAATATGTAACACGTCCTGCCATTGGCCACCTGCCTTCTACGACATGACTTCAGTCGCCTGGTCCTTGAAAGAACTTACCCTTGACATGTAACCAAAGGCTGTGAATTCACTGGTTACATCTGTTGCCTCCAAACATCTCTCCTTCATCTACCCAGGTGAACACTGCTATCTTCTGGTACAACTCACTTTCCTGTCCCTGGACAAAGCTCTTCCAGGGAGATAAGCAGCCACTACCTTCCCCAAGCCCTGCAAGAGCCACCCTAATGTCACCACAGACATATGCAATAGTTCTCAATAAATGCTTATCATTGATAGACTGATTTATGGGGCCTTCATAAGTGATTATCTAATCCTATTGAAAGCAGTCATTCTGCATCTATTCATTCACATTTGCTTTCCAGGTATACTCATGTGGCTTGGACATAGTTGAATACTCTATCCTAGTTTATTTAGGTGACATAGGCTCAGTTACTACCTCTAATGTTTATCTACCCACTAAGTTAGAGTTTCTGAATCATGTCTATATAACTTTTTCATGTCCACCAGAGATCCTTCTGTAGATGGATGTTAGTAGATATTTGACAGTAGTGAATTGATTTTGCTTTTGCTAATATATAAAGGAGGTATGGTAGAATAGAAGAAACACAGACTGAAGTCAAAGGGGTTAGATCTTGCTATTACTAGCCACTCAAAGGTTCCATTTCCTCATCAATAAAAATGATAATCAAAAAGGCTTCCCTGGCTTTTCCAATGGGAGCCACCAGGGTGAGAGGACTGTAGCCTTCTGTCCACACTGTGGCGCGTGCTCGTTCCCAGATACCAATGTACATTGAAAAGGGGGGACCATCTGGCAAAAATGTCACCTTTCCTGTTGTGTTCACGACTCCCATTTGACAAGATATTATGAACTATGTTCACACCAACTTGCACAAAAACAATAGAGAGCCTTGTGTTGTCAGTGAATTGACACATCATCAAACCACTGCTGAGTCCTGGGTGCTGGTAGAGCTGTGCCTCGAATTCCCAGAGTTCAAGGTGGTGAGTCTCATGGTTCCAGCCAGGGTGGTTTTGGAAATGTGTCGTGGGGACTGCGTGTTTGCACCAACCCAAACCTGGTGCTGTTGATACCACAGAGTGAACACAACACAGAAGCGGTGTGCCATCTGCTCTGCCCTGGCTGCCTCGGCCGTACCAGCGCTGCTCATGTCTGAAGGCCATCGTACTGAGGGAGTTCCTGAACTTCGTTGGTGGTTGAAGGTAAAGTTGAAGGCTACAAGAAAACCAAGGACATGGTTTTTGCTTAAGAAACTTAAGACCTGGAATGATATCAAAATGGTCTATTCCTTTCAGCGAATAAGAGCTGAGGCAAAATAAGAAACCATCATATCCAGCACGTGGGACCTGGCGTCACCTGTATGATGAGGACAACAGTATAATCAAAGCCTCCAGAAACATTCCTGGAGTTACTCTGCTTAATGTAAGCAAACTGAACATTTTGCAGCTTGTTCCTGGTGGGCATGTGGGCCGATTTTGCATTTGAACTGAAAGTGCTTTCTGCAAGTTAGATGATCTGTATGGCACTTGGCATAAAACTGCCTCCCTCAAGAGTAACTACAACCTTCCTGTGCACAAGATGCTCAGTACAGACCTTAGCAGAATCTTGAAAAGCCCAGAGATCCAAAGAGCCCTCCAAGCACCACACAGATTCATTGCAGAGTCCTGAATAAGAATCCACCGAAAAACCTGAGAATCATGTTGAAGTAAACCCATATGCAAAGGCCATGCGCCAGAACACCAAACACCAGAACAGGCTCCAGGCGGATAAAGCAGCAGCAGTGCTAGAAGCGAAATCAGATGAAAAGGGGTTCCAAGCAAGAAGCCCCAAAGGAGGGAAGGAAGGAAAAAACGCTGTTGATGGTCAAAGCAGAAGCCTTTGGTGGGAAAAAAGGCAGCAGTTACCAAGAAACCAGCAGCTGTGAAGCCCACAGAAATCTACCACAGAATAAAAGAAGCCTGATGCATAAACTTAAATTTGTTTATTCCATAAAAGTCAAATCACTTTGGACAAGAATTTTGAATAAAAATCTGATCAAAGGCAGTGAGAAACATTTAAAAAAAAAAGCTTCCCCATGTGGTTGTTGTGAAGAATGATAATGTATGCAAAAGGGCATAGCCTGAGACCCTCAATATTCATTTTTCCCTTCATCTTCTAAAGAAGCAACATTAGTCATTCACGCAGCATCGCTTTTTTTTTTCTGGTTCAGAAAGAGATTTCTGAACCATATTTATGTTAACTTACACTTTACAAAGGCCTGATTGTCTAAGGAAACACAATAAGAGGTGAGATCATTCCTTCACCATTAGCAACTACATTTAGCTTACTATTTAAGATCGAATACCCGTTTCTCCACTAAGAAAATTAATTCAATGCATTAACTTACTCATTCAACAAGCATTAATGATTAATGATTCAGCAAGCATTTTCTCCTCATTGCTAAACATATAAGTACTATGGAGTTTGGAGTTTGAACTCCAAACTAAGGTATGGAGTTTGAACAAAACAGGACAGAGCCCTGCTGCCATGAAGTTGACACAGTTAACTTTAAGGGGTGTATTCTAGAACAGACCCTTGTGCCAATGCGTTGCTCCATTTTACTCAGTCAGACATGACATTAGAAGTTGTTTGTTAAATGAATAATGTCGAGTTCTGCAGTATCATTGTCAAACACCTGTTTCTAATTTTTAATACATGGATATGCTGCAGTGAAATATACCACAATCAAAATAAGGCAAAAATCATCATGAACATTTTCCTCTGATACACCAACAAGTATTTTGGAAGAGGAAAATGAAAGAGACAACATTGTTTTAGATTAAATCAAAAAGATCTGAATAGATAATAAACTTTTCCTCAAAGATTCTTCAGATTAATTTTGCAGACATCCAGAATTCATCCACTCAAAGAAATTTCCAACTATTCACTGACTCTTTTATATTAGTGTTCACACGGTCACATAATTAAGGTTGGTAAGTCTGGAGGCCAAATAAACACAGTTCAATTTTAAAGTGGTTAATGCACATACTTTATTAAAATGCTGTTTGTACACTGAAATATGTGATTTTAGTCTCTTCAGTTATTCAATACGAACATTTAAAACAACACTCAGAAGCAGCACTTACATCATCAACTCACTATAGAAAGTGCTATATACCCAAATAGCACTTCGGTAAATTATAAAACAAATGTGTACCGGAACACTTCAGCAGAGAGTAAACTGATTTTGGATAGACCAAGCTGCTATATGATGTACCGGAAGCCAATGGCAGGTGAGTCATTCTTGGAGGTAGAGGAACTCCATGATTTCACTGCCGAGAAGGCTCGACGTGACCATCAGCGTGCCGCTTCAACCACCGCACAACCGGTTGGGGCTGCCAGAGTCTAGTGTTCCCATTCCAGATGCCAAATGCAACAGGCCGGTAATCACACTTTGGTGTTTTATTTCTGCTACAATCATCCACAGAAGTGAATCTAATCATACGATAAAATGTAACCCAACCAAAAATGTATGTCAATTTTCAGACATGGGTATGTGAACAATTGAGGTCCTAAAGGAAAATACCTGTTGAACTACTTAATGCTAAACTTTAACCATTCCTTCCCACCACCCTGCTTAGAAGCATTTTCTTACTGTCATGTGACCATGAAATTAAATTTTTGTCCATTTGTAGAGAAGGAACTAAATGTCCTGTCTGATATTTAAGAATTAGCATAGGTTTACACATTCTCTGCCAAGATTCTTTTAAAAAAAAATGTCAAATTCTACTTTGAAAAAATAATTTCTATTTAGATTATGTCCTAGTAATTCTTCAAAGTAAGTAATTTTTTAAAAGGCTGGAACTCAAGAAAAGTTCCTATCATAGAGCACAGAGATTCAAAACTGATCCCTCCAAAACTATATTTTTTCAGGAAAAAAATGCAGACTTTGAAGCACTTAAACACAAAGATCTGTAACAAATGAACAACGGGTGGAACGCGGGACAGCATTTACTTCTGAACATATAAGGTACTTAACTTGGGAAAAATCACAAATGTCAATCATTTGCCAAATAAAGGTTGACAAATAAAGTCTGGCAACACATTTTAGAAAGGTGATTTATATGCTACATATAAATGAAAGGAAAACTTAAAATACAATTGATTTAAACAGAATGACATTAGTATAATTTACACCATACCTAAATCTACACTGTAATGGCCACATGGCAAATTTAGTTAAAACTAAAAAAAAACTATAGAAGCCCTTTTATTCACTACCATTTGTACAATTCCCAATAGTAGACTTAGAAGCCTAATAGATGTATGCTTATCTTTATGGATTATAGCAATTTGCAAATTATTCTTTGACACCATGGCTTGAAAAAACAAACACAAGTATGCTTTATGCCTCAGTCAAAGTTAACTGGTTTTGGGTTTTACAAGCTTTTGAGGTGAAGCAGAGCAAAGCCTGATCAACACCTACACACCCTACAAATTCCCTTTTATCAAACCTGGCAATCCACCTAATGCATCAGTGACTCTTAGACCTTTGACCTTGATAACATCACTGCCACCTTTAGTTTTTAAAGTGAGAGAGGAATAGCAATGTGAAGAATTCAAAACAAAAATGAAACTTACACCTTTAAATATCATTTGTGCTTTAGAGTATTTGTTTGCTTGTTAGTTTGAAAAGTCACCATAGTTCCAAATGCAGTTTCCATATTTATGTTCCAGAACCTGACTCAGAAAGAGGAAGGAAGTTTTCCAGCTTTCTTATCTACCTTTGGGTGCTCACTTCTCAGACAACAGAGAGGAGACTATATTCTCTCCTGTAATATTTTTCTGTGTTTCATCAAACTTTCTTAAAAAACAAAATTGAAATATTTCTTTACTGTTTCTTTTTTTCCCAAAGGACAATTCCTGATTAATATAAGCTGGAAAGCTCAAGATTTCTTCTCTTCTATTCTCAAAAAGATGAGAAAATGTGAACATATATCTTGGGCCTTCTTCCTTCTAATAAGCCTTCAGATAAAACAAAAAGAAAAATGTCAACCCCGAAAGCTGAGAACTGAAGATATATAGTATACCAAATTTATCATTTTGGCTTTTCCCCTACAACAAAACTCCATGTCATTCTGTACATACAGTATTTTTCTCACATCCTCTTTTATATGCAAATTATCATGTAACAGTATAGCTTCAACATGCTTGTTCTGTTCCTGGGTTTTCCACGTAACTTACCCACTATAAAATATCTCCTACAGCCATTCTTAATGTTTCTTCATCTGCTGATAACCACTGGTCCTCCACTATCAAACTGCACCCAGTTTGTCAAGAGTCCTTAGGTATAAACATATAATTAATTTAAAGCTAACTAATGAAGGAGCTATGCAGGATTGTTCCCTTAAAATTTTATGTTACTCCACAATATACATATGTACATACACTCAAACATATAACAAATTTACCATGTCTGCAAAACTAAACTGCAGATATAATTCCAAACACACTGTAAGAGATTCACATTTTTACAGCAAACTTATATGCAAATATAAGTATAGTTTTATACTCCTTAATTACATAGCAAGCTGAAATATGAATGTTTTCATGTTTTAGGTTTATCCTTTTTTGTGAGTCTTAGAAATAGGCAAAAAGGAAACATAAACTTCAAACAGTATCCCTCAATATGGTATTATTACTGACAAATTATCCAACTTGCTTATTCTATACAAAAAGTGATGTAAACATACTATGTACAAGAGTTAGAGACAACGAATCAAACTTTATACAAGATACTTGATACCACTGGTATTTAACTTTGTATACCTTTGACCAAAAGGACTCTCAGCCTGTGCATTCTTTTGATATGAAGAAATAGCCATGTCTCTATAGTATTCTTAGCTACACAATAGGAATGAATTGGAGGGAAGAGGGAACCTGCTCACACAGTTGAAATATACAAGTTATACCATTTATAAATATGTATATAATTTAGGAGTGTCAGATTATCTGAATTAATTTCTTTTGCATCATTACATTTATCAGTTGAGTGGTCCAGGATATAAAACACAGTAACAGTGAACTCAGTTTTTGCAATTACTCCTTGGTATAGTTATTAAAAATTAAAACACTTGCTGATAACACATTGAGTAGCTGTCAAACTACTACTTTTAAAAAACTTGAAGAACCTGTTCACATGGATAAACAAAAGTGATCAAAAGAAACTGATAGCTGCCTAAGAGTTTTTAAAATTAGAACACTCAGCAAGTATATCAAAACCACTTTTCACACACTCAGTCAAAGTAGACTCACAATAGCTGTAATTACACACATATTTCTACTGAGTATGTACAGGTGAACATAAATATGATGGGTATTTCTGAAAAACTGCTACATATATGGTTACTGAGTTCACATTGGTTGGGTGCTGATCTAGTGAGTCACAGAGTCACTCTGGTATGGTTAACCTTTCGATCTAATCAGTTTCTTGACACTCTCAGTGAAAAACTGTTGCACAGAAACTCAAAAGTCCCAGCGAACAATCAGGCCCATCGTCCACTGGAAGCAAAGCTTCTGCTGAAGGAGAAGTTGATTTCGAAATTCTTGTATTTTCCCCAAGCACCAAAAGGCACTACTATTATAGTACTGTTATCTTCAGCACCATACTGTATTGCCTGCAAGGTTTGGCAGGAAGGAAGAGAAAAACACTGGAAATCAGAGTCTGTACAAAGAGAAACCATCCTTCTTCTGGAAAGTCAAACTGATTTAACACAGTTACTAACTCAATTATGTCACAGTGGTTTGTGATTCTCTCACCACATATCAATGCCCAGTTTATTCAATTGCAGATGACCCAAAACAACCATATTAACTATATTCCACTGCAGCAACTTTGGCAATAGAAACACCAATAGACTAAGGTATAAGACATGCATCTCCTGAAGAAGAAAATACCTGTAAAGCATTTAGCATAGGAACTAATACAAGGTAAAGATTCACAAGGTGTTAGTCCTTACCTAGCAATTCTGCTCCTAGAAATTTAGTCTACAGAAATAATAACCTAAGGAAGTGGATGTGTATAAAGATATAAATATAAGAGAGTTCATTATACTCCCTACAAAATGGAAAAGGGAACTAAACTAAATTTCCTACAGTAGAACTATAAGTCAATTTCGGGAACTAATTCAAACACAAATGAGATAGCATTGTAGTACTTGGGATTATATTTGACAGCAAATGTATTTCAAAAGACCTCACAGCCTCGAGCTGAAACTGTGAAGGTCAATTAAAATATCTGATGAAAAAGCTTCAAAAAATAAAAAAGTTTTACAAATAAGTTGAAAGACAAAAAAATTACAATATCAAAGTACTAATATACTAGATAGATAGATAGATAGATAGATAGATAGATAGATAGATAGATAGATATAGCAAGCTCTTACAATAACCAAAAAAAGACAAAACTGCCTGTAAGATAATGGAAAAACAAACTGTACATGGACAAGAAATACAAGTTATAAAACATGCTAGTAAAATGTAAATTGGAATAATATCTCTGGAGGGCAGTTTGGCAAACATTAAAAGTTTTAGAATACTGTGTATTCTTTTACCTAGCAATTTTACTTGTAACTCTTTAAGGAAACAATACCTGAAGAAAATTGGTAGTCACAAACAGATACAGGCGTGTTTATTCTAGTGTTCCCCTATAATAGGGGAAAGTGAATATAAACTAAATTTGCTGCTTAAGGAAACTGCTAAATGAATTATGGTACAGAAATATATGTAGTCATTATAAATATCATTGCCCCTGTGACTTAGAACACATTATCACAAAATAGTAGTTGAAATTAGGGAAGAAGTGATCATCGGTGGAGCTGGGCTCATTTCCTTACTCTCATGAGCACACATATAGTAACTGAGTAATTCATGCTAACCCATTAATTTTCAAGCAAGTGATGCTTTTAAGCAATGTCGTATGTCTTCATTACAAATATCAGTACTTAAAAGTTGGGATCGTGCTGCTCTGCCTGTGAAGTAGCCTTCTCTCTGTCCTACTGCTTCACTAATCAACTTTTTCACTTTAAACTCTAAAAAAATGTTTGGGCCTAATTTGGCTCCAGAATCAAAAACATAAAAATCAGGAAATGCAAAAACAGCTGTTAAATTAACCTGTGCCTCCCACGATCAGTGATGGCTCTAACTTAAAAAGCCATCTCTCTGCCCTGGCTGAGCCGCTCAGTTGGTCGGAGGGTCACCCCCAACATGCCAAGGCTGTGGGTTCATCAACAGTCAGGGCACACATAGGAATCAGCCAATGAATGCATAAATGGGTGGAACAACAAATCAGTTGTTTTTTCCCTCTTTCTCTCTCTATAAATATCGATTAAAAAAAAGCTATCTATCCAAATAGAGTATTAAAGATAGAAATTTTACATGTCCCCCACTGGGTATTATCCAGCTTCCAAATTTTAGCTCTGACTGAGACAGTGGCATACAACACACCCAAATACCTTTTTGTATTTGTTTTTTCACACATCCATCCTCAGAAACCAGAAGTTGACGTGCTATAGTGTTCCTATAGTGGGTGATTACATGGAGCAGTCTACCAGTCAATTGATTAGACTTGGGAAATTGGCTATCATTTTGAAGCCCAACAGGCAATAAATATTCGTCAGCTTGTTTTATGACCTTGAATAAGGTACTTAATGTCTCAGCCTCTGTGCCTCAGTTTTCCTCATCCATGAAAAAGGGAAAATACTAGCTCCAGCCTCAAAGGTTATTGTGCTGATTACATGAGTCAAGTATATCAAGATAAGAGTATCTGACACATAGTGAGTGATGTTAATTATTCACTATTATAATTTACTGTGGCTGTTACTATTATCTCAAGATGTGTAAAAGCCAAAACATAAATATTGCACATTTTCTTGGCATATCAATTTTACTTAACTACTTGGGAGAATTGTAAAAATGTTTTAAATTGGAAATATGGAGTCAAGTGTAAAATTCATTGTAATGCTGGAGCTGAAACACAAGATTTGAAAGAAATCAAGCTTGTGGTGGCCCCTCCAGGCTTTACCAAAACCTGCACCTAGGTTTGTCCTTCTCTCCTCCCTCCCTTGGGACTTGGCTAGCAGAAGCTCTGTTGTGTCACCTGTTCAGTCACTGCATGAGCCGCTTCACTGGGAGCATGGCACTGATTGACAAAGTCACAAATCTCTTGGCTATTCACCATGAAGTTAATTCCATCTGTGGTGAGGACCAGGAAGCTGTCGTCAGCATGATGTAGCTGCAATCAGAACCAAATTCATAGGATTATAACTACACTCTGCCGAGAATAATCTTCACAATTCAAAGATTTTATGTTTGTTGAGTGGTCATCGGTGTCCATGGCTTATAGGCACACAGAGTGAAAATGGAAGTCCCATATTTACAGCAAAAGTAGCAACGTTTAGCATCAACCATCAAGGACAAACCTAAAACAGCCAGAAGCCCGAATACCAGAAGCTGCAAGATGTAATAGTTGAAAGCACTGTCTCTGGAGCCTGGCCTGCTGGGTCTGAAGCCTGCCTCTCTTTTTCAGCTGGGCAAACGTAGGGGAGTTGAGCTCTAGAAGCTCTAGATTTGTTTTCTCTGTAAAATGGGGCAGTAATAGCTATTTAGAACACAGCTTGGCACCTGGTAAACCCTATATGTTATTTGTTAGTTAAAATGAATATGAGTGGACTATCTATAAGACATGAAATCACTGTTAATTAACAAATGTTTGCTACCATTATTGGAAGCCTACATTGTGCCAGGCATTAGAGTAGGACGGAGTTGCAGAGAGGGAAGTGTTGGCTCACAACTGGGCACGTGATGGGGTAAGTGTAGGGTAATGTGGACATTAATTAGTAGCACGCAAAGGATGATGTCACCAAAAAAACAGAGGTAAGGCAGTTATTTAGCTTGGTGGAAAAGAAAAGCCAGGGTCAGCTTGAAGTGGAGGTGATACAAATGATCAGGTGCAGCAGAGGACAGGCTGCAGAGCCATTCCACCAGAAGAACTCCACAGCGGGTGAAACAAACCAAACACATCATCATCATACAGTAGGCCTGGAGGAAGAATCTTATTTTCTCTGCAAAGATCGTCTATCCTTTTCTTAATTATTCCCTTTCAAAAGTCATTTTGGCTTCCCGTAAGGCTTCCAAGAAAGCTTGTAGCTGGAGACACCTGCATTCATTCCCTGCATGTATATGAAGTGTTTACAAGTCCTTTCTTACCTTAATCCTCTTTGTTTCAGGTTCTGCTATTACACCACTGTTTTTAAGATCCAAATCTCCAAGACTCCTGGTCATCGCAAGTCTGCCATTCACATGAGGCTGTCCCAAACTATTCCAAGCTACAAAACCACCACATTTCTTGATCCTGCTCAAAAAAAAAGGTTAAGACCAGAAAACCAGGCACAGTTAAACTTAATCATGAAATCAGTTTAAAATGCAAGGTTTCATTTCTATGAAGGAGGTATAAAAGAACATCTTCATGTGTTGGAGATAATACCTTTCTTTTTCATCTTTTCTTTCTGGAGTATGGTCAATGGTCAGCTTGATGGGTTTTCCTTTTCTACACAAAATAGCCCGACTATCCCCAACACTGGCTACAACCAGTTCAATGCCATCTCTCAACAAGGCTACTGTGGCAGTTGTCCCAGATGTCAGAATGGTTGCTGCAAACATTATGGAAAAGAGTACAAGTTATTGACATTCAAATGATTGGATATGGGATTTTCATGACAAAATAAAATACAAGCATGTTAAACTAATGCTGAAATGTATCATTTTGATTTAACTAGAGCTACAAACAAAATTCAAATGAACTATATAAGAAAAAGCATGCAGAGAAAGAAGTACTTGATTTCAACGACAAGGCTCCACACAAACGGAAAAAGTTGCTCTCCTAATTTGGTAAATTCATCACTGTCCCCAAATGTCCTCTGTTTATAACAAGAAGAACTGACATAAACTTATAATAATTATTACAACACCTTTGTTTGTACATCAGGTGTCAAAATTAACAGTATTGCATTTTAATTAGATTGGCTAATAAATCAGGGTGGCTTAGGTCTACTGAGCCCAACTCAGGTGAGCCGACTTTTCCATAATCTATGGACTCAGAAGGTTTTCCCCTCCATTTCTTACTCCTATCCTGTGGTAGTATTATCAGTTAATAGGTTGAGCAAAATATGCCAAGGGCACATAATTTGCTCTTCAATAGCTATATTTTATATTCTTTCTACAACTGTTTCAATTTTACAAATGTTTACCCAGAAAAACCCTAAAACGGTTCAAGGCTCGCATTTTTTTCTATTTATCTTTGTAGTCCTCAGACACAAAACAAAGTTACAGCCATCAGTTTATTAGGAGAAAATGGGAGGCAGGGGGAGCGGATGAAATTCATCTTGTTTCCCACAAGCTTGGTGTAGTCAACACTACTAGCTCCAGAAAGATCTGATACAACCCATCTGTGTCCAAATGCAGGACAGTACTGCCAAGTGCTACTCCTGTGACCATGCCCTGAAGCCAGGGCATTTCCAGAACATTACTTTTCTCTGTCCAATAAAAAAATGAATGTTACTTGGCTTGAGGTCACCACTGTTGCCTCCATCTAATCCAAACTGCATTTCTTCACCTCCCTTCACATTTTTCTAATAGCATCTGCCCTCATTTCTTTACTTCTTGTTTAAAAAAATTTGAGGTGCATTGAACCTTGCCAAAGAGAGAATGCTGTGAAATTATGGGCTAAAAAAAGTAAAGCGATTGGAAGGAACTGGAAAAGGTAACTAATTTAAAGCAGATATAGTCTTTTGTAACACAGTTCATTCTTTAGAGCATCTAAAGAAAATAGTCAAGTGATTATCCAAAGATTATTTTGACTTCTAAGGTAGATTTAGAAAAAATGAAGTGCTACTGATTTCACTGATTGAGGCTCATCAATCTTGCCAAAGAAATTTTTTAAAAAGACAATTGAAAAAATGTCACCATTAATACAATTTGGAAAGATATATACTTTCCCCCCACAATCAGTATATTAAAAAGCCTGCTTTAATCAGAAAATGAAAATGCAAAAACCTGAATAACCCATACTTAATCTTTTATATACCTGCTGAATTTACCTTTTTGAGAAATAGCATTTATAATTCTACTATCTTCCCATTTGTCTCTTGATTTTGGAACTGTTGTGCCAAAACAATAATACCTTGGCAATGCTAAAATGTATTTGTCACTTTACAACATCAGCGTTTTAGCCTAAGTTTCAGTGATGTTTATGTTACAGGTGGTAACTTGAGTTTTCCAAACACTGTACAAAGGAACCTTGACATTTTAACTACTGTGATATTTTCAAATGATGGGAAGATCCTGGTAAGAGAACAACACAGGGATTTTATTTACTCAGATGCTACCTGTCCAAGGAGATTAGTTTCCTCTCCTTTGTTTAAACAAAGGAGCAGCTTTTTAAAAAGTGCTCTTTAATTGGCTACATCAAGAGAGGTACAATTTCTTAAATGGCAATTTCAAGTTTAGCTGTTCAGGATTATAATTCAGGGCTCTGCCCCCCAGCAACTTGAAAGAGTTTACATCTTTACCAACCCAACGTCACAGTTCCAAAATCCCAGAATTTAAGGGAAAGTTTTCAGAACTAACTGTTGAGTCTGGTTTGCTTAGCATCTAAGAATGGAAATACTAAATCAATGTTATATTCATTTAACATTTATCATAGAAGTAAATTATTCTCAACAAGAGAATTATTGCCCTAACAACAAAACTATAAAACTAAGACATCTTTCAGGAGGTTCTTAACACTCACAGGACATTTCTACTGCAAGTCATCTCAACTAATGGGACAAAGAGGATGTGGGAACCTTCCCGTAGTCCAGGCTAGGAACCGCTGGATTCCTTCCCCTGGGACAAAATTAAGCAGACCTCTCTTTCCACTGAAGCCCAGCATGGAGTGTCCGCGGGCCCCAGGTCTAGAGCTGCTGACCAGGCCCAGTTCTCTGCCACAGGTAGACGCGCAGAGGCAGATAGGAAGTTCACCCAGGAATTGGGCTCAAACATTGCAAACCTGCAACACAGGGGAGGGCAGAGAAAGAGCTGGGAAATAAGGGGAATGTTTTTATTTTGGTGAGAATTTCACTTGCAAATTACATGGTATTCCAGGAGATGCCAAATCAAAGATTGCAAAACTCAGTTTTTCCTAAACCGATGGTATTTTGTAGTTGAGTCTATTTTCTCATCACAGAGTAACACATCTTAGTTTTGTGTCCCAAGATAGGAAAAACCATATATTGGGTTGGCAAGAAGTTTGCTTTTTTCCATAAGATGGCTCTAGGAGCACTTAGTTGTCTTTAACTTCATTCAAAACGATTTTGTTAGGTTGTATTGGGACAGCTGGCATATCAGTGTGCATTCAAAAAAGAACTTACCAAAATTGGTGAATTTTTGTGTAGCCATTTTAGTATTGAAGATAAAAAAAATAAGCAATATTTTTGGCATATTATGCTCTATCATTTCAGGAAAGGTAAAAATGCAACTGAAATGCAAAAAAAGATTTGTGCAGTGTATGGAGAAGGTGTTGTGACTGATTGAACCTGTCAAAGGTGGTTTGAGGTTTCATGCTTGAGATTCCTCTCTCGACGATGCTCTGAGGTTGGGTTAGAGAAGCTGAAGTTGACAGTGACCAAATTGAGACATTAATTGATAATAATCAATGTTATACCACGCGGTGGGTAGCTGACAGACTCAAAATCTCCAAATCAATAAAGCTATTAGTGAAAATGAAAAATGTGTTTTTTATCTTATAGAAAAAAACAAACAAACTTTTTGGCCAACCCAGTACAAATGCAGGTGTACCAAAAGACCTGAGTACACAGACACACTTCTGCATACTTCCATACACTCTCATAGAACACACCCGCAGTCCTGAAGAGTAAATTAGTACCTTTGTTGAGCTGAAAAAATTGCACTGTATATTCATTTGGTAGTGATACCAGAATTGTCCCAATACCAAAAAGGAAAACCTCAGGTACATCACTAAATATTTGTCAAATCTGAGCAGTCCATAGATAGAGAGGATGTGAACTACAACATACCATCAAATTACTGAGATTGAAATATATACCCAGGAGGAATCAAAGCACCTCCTACACCAGAAATAAGAAGTATCACTTGTTACGGAGCTCATTGCCAAGATTTACTATGTAGAAGTCATCTTTTCAGTAGAATTACTGTTTAAATAAAAGCTAGTAAGGCTCTTGAGCTCTCAGGCATGTTTATAATTTTATATAATTCATAAAGTGGGTGTTTCTGCAGCTCTCTCTTTCCCCCGGTGTTGCAGGTCGACATATCAAAACAAAAATGATCAAGGTTTTGACTGGCAACGAAAGAGTAAAGCTGTACTTTTCAAGGTGTAACGCCCACATCCCCCTGATAATTATTCAACTGTGTGAACAGGAATACATATAAAACAATGCAGGTGCAGTATTTTTAAAAAATGGGTGTTCCAGGCATGTATGACTCACAAACACCAAGATCAAAGTAAAGAACTGAGGGCAGTAGCGGCAAAACAAGAATATCTCTTCAAAGCAATCTCTATTTTTTTTTTGTTTTGGCTCCCCCCAGCACAAGAAGGGTACTCAAAAACATTTTCTACCACTGGTTATTTTATAGTTTAGTTCACCCATAAAAAGATCACACAGTATGATGAACACACCAGTGTCCGGTGAGACTCACGATGCTGCCACCATCTCCAACTCTGAACATCAGAGCAAGTCTTCCCTCATTTATCCTTTTGTCTCTTGAGAAGTGTTGTTGCTTTCAAACCTTAAGCTATCTAGAAACACTTTGAAGAGTTTATAGAATACATAGGATTATAATCTAAATTTTCTACTATCTGGTTTACATAACAGTTTGTTCATATGCAACAGACTAATAGATACGGTAGTTTGAATCTATTGGCTGTTTAATTGTAAAAACATACATGACTGGTATATATTGAATATAAAAATTTCAAAGTTGATGAAATTAGCTACTTAAGGACAAATTCAAAATTCATCAATAAATCAATAAAAATATTGAGCAATTTCTTAGGGGCAAAATTCTTGCCCTTTCTTGGTAAATGGCATTCTGATTTTATTCTCCGCTAACTACCCCCAGTTTAAAGGGAAACAGTAAATATCTTAAATGCTAATACTGTTATTTGAAGTGCTTTATGCAGATGTGACAGTTTCAGACTAAAGCCTTGAAAAGATGAAAATGTTTTCTTTTCACTTTCTCTTAAGTGCAATTCCTGAAGTCCTGCTATTATTGGTTCATTCACATGGTTTAACCAATCTTTTTTGGGGGTTTCTACCACTTAAAATTCAAATCCACTCATGAGTGATAACTCATTGAAACATATGCATTATACCCATAATTTTGTTAAATAGGCTATAGTATAATCAAGGAATAAACTATAATAACTTTGGTGAGGACGAGTAGGCACTGGATTCTATGCAGGATGCTGAACAATGGATTCGAAACTGAATAAGCATGGTCCCTACCTGCAAGCTACTCCCAGGAGGTGTTCTAGGAGAAAAAGGGGGCTGGTGCTAAAAGAAAAGGTGAAAGAACCTGGAGAGAGCAAACTGCAATTACTTCACAATTTTATTTAACTAAGACTGGTACTTACTACTGTCTGTGCCAAAATAGAATATTATCCACTCTTATAATATTGACACTGCTTTAGTTGTTACAGAAAACTAAAACATAAAAATAAAAAATTTCAATTAAATAACTTTGAAATCTGAAATCATCTCATTCTTTTAAATTTAATCTTTATTGTATTTCAAGTTTTATTTTTTAAGTCACAACTTGAAAAGCTAAACAGCGTAAAGTATTCTATCTTTAGGCTTTAATATATTTGATAAAATAAGGCCTCAAATGTCTAAAGGCAAGTTTTGCCATTTTTTAAAGCTTTACCAGCTTATGAAGAATTTTAAAGTTGTTCACATAAATACTTATTAAAAATCACATAGACTAATTGATCTATAAGAATATAAAATAAGATTTAAGAACAACAATGTCATCTAGACCTTATTTTTGAATCCACTCAGCATCATTCTGTCTTGCTCCATCATCATACTTGCAAACAAATGCCCATTAAATGAAAAATAAATTTTAGAATCTTATGAAAGTTCTGATCATTAACTCAAAGCATGTGACAGATGAACAAAATTAGGTGAATATATTTTCATTTCATTATTAGAAATGGATTACATTTTTATAATTAATTTCTTGGAACAATCTCTGTTTAGTGAAAACGGTATCTTTAGTAAGTATTTTTAAGATTAGAAAGTTAAGTAAATCCTCTCCCTAAGCTCAAAATTTCCTTTGGTTATAATTTATTATTGAATAACTGACAGGGGTCCTCTAGTTAACACTGAATCTATCATTGTTTTAAGTATCTTTGTTGATTAGATCCTTTAAGAAAGGGACGACTGCATCCATGAAGGGTTTCTGTTTGGGATTGCTGGCCACATTTCCAGATGAACTTTAACATCTCTTCTGAAAATCTTGCCCAGTATGTTCTGCCTGTTTACAGAACAGCTAGGACACACCACCTGCACTACAGCTGATAAACATCGCGATATGAGATACAACCAACCTGGTTATGGAAGAAATACGAATACCAATATGGATACCAATATTCAGAGTATAAAAATAAAATGATCAGAAAATGTTTTAATGACCTCTTCTTCTTTAAATATTTTACCCATTAAGGACAAGACATAAATCTTATGTCTAAAATTTATCCTCTCTCAGCTCCTAGTTTTCATAAGGTGAAGGGTCAAGCTGGAGAAGGAAAAGTCCAAAGGAAAGAAGGGGAAAATGGGCCTGAATGATGTACAAACAAGAAAATGAATCCCTGAACAAAGAAATGGACTCCAATGCTTTTCGGAGGCATATGATAATGGAAGTTTCTCAAAAAATAGTAGGAAAACCTTTTACTGAGTCATCCTAGAGCCATCTTCTCTAACCCTCATCATTAACTATCCCCTTGAGAGAGGCCACAGAGGGTGCCAGGAAAACCCTAGCAACTACCCTTTACATTTCGTTGAGTTTCAGTTCCTTTATTTGGGAATTGGGGAGAATTTCCATCCCCAGGCACTCCAACTGAAAGCTGTGAAAATGACATTTCTGTGGTGCACTTTGACCTCCTGTAAACAAGAGGATGAATCAAACATAGATTAATATTATTGCATGCTTCATATTCATTCTGTACACCTACATTTATATGGTTGTTGCAGAAGTTTTCAAGATTAACTTTATAAGCAAAAGTCATGGGGGGCAGCTAACTAGAAAACATTAACTACATTTTCTTGAAATAGTTTGATAAATTTAGTCAAAATTGGAAACATTTTACTTTTAAAATTTAAGGACAAACAGTACACAAAATTTTAACCTCACCTTGTGTTTAACAAATAAAAACAAAAATATCACTAGTTACAACAGGAAAGCTGCAAGATCAAGCTTTTTTAAGAAGTACGAGAAAAAAAAATCTTCATTCTACTTATACAAAGTAGTATATATTAGTCATTGTTCTTTCCAGTCTAGGACCAATTAGTAATTTTCTCCTTGCCTGCCCAATTATTGTCCCGGCTAAATGAGGTAGCATATTTCAGTATTTGCTCATCAGATTCCTCTAAAAAACCAAAAATAATAAACACTCTCATAGAATGGATATCTTGTCCATAAAATGTGTAATCAAGAAGATTTTAAAATTTTTTAATCATTTAAAATTGAAATTCAATATCATAACCATTTTGGAGCTTCAATTTCTGAGAAATTCTCCAATATATTTCACTTAAAAGTAAGGTGCTAACATTAGTTTGGATTCCAAACAGCATTTAAAGTGGTTCTTTATATAAAATCATTTTCCACATAAACATTCTTACAAATAAACTTACATTAAAATTTCCACCCCTAAAGGGCTTAACTTGTTTCCATTTTATCCACACATTCCCCCGGATCCTAACGAATGTGGTTGTTTCACTTACCATCAGCAGACAGGTGGGCATGTCTTGCAAAGGCTTTATCTATTTCTAAAAAAGCCAAGGTCAACACAGTTTCCAGGTTCTTCTCCTTAGGAAGCAAATCCCTTTGTGAGGAGAGAAAAAGAGCCCCAAAAAATCATTTTACAATAATAGGTGTCTCCTCTTCCTCTCATCTCCTCTCCTCCGTGCCATTCTAGTGAGCAGTCCCTCCATACAATGGGCCTTCCACAGCTTGCCTTCAGGTACTCATTAAGTATCTACTAAGTGAGAGGCATATTGATAAGCCACTAAGGACACTACAATAAAAGTCCATGTTCCCATACTTAAAAGATTAATCCTCACTGCTGGAACTCTGAAAGGTCAAGAGTTCCTTTGTACTAAATGAAGCCATTGAGTTCTTCTGCAGAACAAGGCAAATGTGCTTAAATTGACTAATGAACGGTATGAACAACTACACAAGGAAAGCAAGAAATAGTCATGACTATAACTCTGTCACATATTCTCCCCCTCTCTTAATGCTAGCAGTAGCGTGATCCTCAAAATATACATTGTAATAATTCCATTAAACTATGTAAAGAACTCCAAAACACCCATTTTACATGCATTTTCCCCATATTAATGCCAGTTATCTAAAGTTATTATCAACAAGTATTCAAAGCTATCCATGCCATTTGAGAATATAGTTACCATGTATTGATGCATTAGGAGCCATGCACTGAGTAAGGAGTAAACGCTTTTCATAGATTCTCATAGTACATGAGATCCCCCGGGGGTGTCCAACCTTTTGGCGTCACTGGGACACACTGGAAGAAGAACTGTCTTGGGCCACATATTAAATACACAAACACTAATGAAAACAAAAATAATCTCATAATGTCTTAAGTAAATTTACAATTTGGTGTTGGGCCGCATTCATAGCCACCCTGGGCTGCATGTGGCCCATCGGCCACGGGTTGGATACCCCTGAATGATCACCAAGTACCGTGGATTCTGGTTGTTAAAATGAAACAATAGACTCAACTCTCTTTTGAGTTACTTGTGCTCTGCCCACATCACCAGACCAAGGCTTAGTACCTTACCTAATTGCAGTTCCAACCTTTGCCAGCAACAGTAATCCTAACTGATCAGTCCGGAATTTTCTGGTTAGTAACAGTGAGGTGCCCTACCGCATAGTCCCTTTCCATTCCTGAGAAGAAGCAGTCTACTCTTTCCTTATTCCTTCCCCCTCTGCCTACAAAAGCCTTCCATTTTGTTGAGCTCCCCGGAGCTCTTTTCTATTTGCTGTATGGGAAGCGAGATTTAGGAATTGTTCAATAAAGCCAATTAGATATTTAAAATGTGCTTGGTTGAATTTTTGGTATTTAACACCATCAATGCTCTCACCAAGGGAGTTGTTGAAAACATGCGTTTTTGAAATGGTAATAATCATCACTAATAAAAGACATGCATACGCTACTGCTTGTTCATAACACAGTTATAAAACCATTCAAATGACTACATTAAGACTGAATATCTCAGCCAAAAAGTGAAAGTTTAAACATAAACCATAAGACCAACTGCCAAGTCAAGAGTGAAGGTCACCGCACGTACATGATACATTCCTCCATGTGTGTGTGACAGAAATCAGCAGCGGCAGGTCCACCATGGCCGTCGTACACCGCGAAATACTGGACCTCATCGGTCAGCTGAGCAAAGTCAAATCTGTCTTCATTCTCTTTCCGTTTGCCAATCTGTGAGGCGCAGCCCACGTTTTCCAAGCTGATTTTGGGTATTGGCTTGCCATACTTGATGCTGGGCGGCAGGAGAATTGGCTCATCAATGCGGTTATCCCAGATCCCAAAATTATCCCAGGTGGCTGGGCGCCCACTGCCATCTGGGTCGAACCGAGAACACCTGGGCTCTGAAGTGGAGCTGTGGCGTGTGGTTGTCACCCGACTGTTATCCTGTAGCAGGCGGGAGCTTAGCAGCGCTCTCCTGACCTGGTTCCCACCACTTCTAGCCAAAGTAATTAAGGCAGCTGTTGACATAACTCAACTCCAAAAGGCTCAGTAGTCAGGGAAAGGTGAATGGAAAAATAATGGAACGTCTTCCAAAAAAATGATGCTACTGAAAAGAGAGGAAGAGATAAAAAGAGAGACTCCATCAGTAATTTTGAATATAACATATATTATTAAAGATTACCATAACTGAAGGCATTAAAGAATACAGCACCTAACAGCCAGCTTCTAAGGATAATGCATCAAAATTGATCCACTATTTACCACCCCATTCAGAGTTTAAACTCTATAAAAATTTGACAATGTACTCATGTCATATAGAGTCAAGCTTTAATTTACAACCACCTTGGGATCTTGTTAAAATGCAAATTCTGACTCTGCCTGCATGGGACCTGAGATTCTGCATTTCTAACCAGCTTGCTGGTGATGCCTGCCTAGTCTAGCAGGCTACCCTTTGAGTAGCAAGAATATAAAATACAGGCATAAATAAATATTCTTCCCTTTATTAACTCTATTGCTCTGAAGAAAAGGGGCAAATATTACTAACAGTTTCTTACAAGAGATAGAAATAAGAGAAAATAATTGGTTAGTAAAATGTTTATGACAGTTCTATACTCAAATGAAGCAGGAGACAGTCAGGAAGGAGGAAACTCCAGGTGCCCAGGGCTAAGATAAAGAACATGGATAAAGGGCGGAGACCCTGTTCTAAGACTGGTAGTTTCTACATCTGGAAAAGCCCTGAATCCTAGTGGATCAGGAATGCACCTGTGCAGAAGATGCTACCTGACCCCTGCTTCATTATAATAGCATTATAATAAATTAGCATGGTGGCACTCCCTACACAATAGCCAATCAAGGAAATCATGGGAGACCCACCCTAAGAAATAAAAAGCCCTCTAGCCCCTGAGTTCGTGGCTGCTGCTGCTGTTAGGCTCTGCTCTGCTCTTCTCTGCTCCGCTCTACTCAGAGTTGGCCTGCTTTCATGTTCTGTGTGGCTTAATAAATCTGCTTTTTCTCGCTTTCTGCTATAAACTCTGTGTGTTCGGTTCCATTTTTTGTCTGCGATCATCAAGAACCAGGTGGCCTGTGCCCACCTGTGACACAAAGAGTGTCCCAATCTTAGCAAAGACACACTAGGATCTATACTTTGTTTTGTTTCAAGATTTCTCCACTTACTACACTTTACATATGTAAACTTGTCACACAAACACTCCCAGAAGTACAAGATAAGCCAGTTCAGATGTTTCCCTTTGTGTAGACCCTCATGGTGAAGGTGTGTGATCTCAGGAATTGAGTGGCACTGCATTCGTGACGAGCAACCCTGATTTATGAACAACTGATCGATGATGCGCTTGCATTAGCAGTTATTCTTCTCTCACTCAGCCTAGGAGCCTACCCACACTCACTGCCTCCATCTCCAGCAGGAGGTTACGCCAGAGTAGGAACCACATTTTTTGAAATGATTATTCTGCACCCCCACGTCTGGACGCAGCCTCAAAGCTAAATCCTAGAAGTTCCTCTGGGTGTGGTCAGGGGGAACTCCTACACCGCTGCAAGAGTAGCCCTTGCTGCTAGAAGGACTGTTCCTGGCAGTTTTCCATACAAATTAGGTTCTAAGCAGAAGTTCATCTCTGTACCTTGTTCTGTTATTTTATGAATTAAAAACCAATTTGAAAACATAGCATGAGGTTAAGATTTGGCAATGCTAGTAGAGGGTATAGAGATGTTATATTATTCTCAACTGTATGTTTGAATTATTTCACAATAAAAAAGTGAACTTGAAAAAACAGATCTCCTCAAAATGCACAAACATACATAACATAAAAAAGCCCAGTTTGAGTGATTCTGTAAGAAAATGTGTTATAGATTTCAAATAATCACTTTCAAATATATTTTTGGAAATCAGTGTAGCAATGTATAAGAAGGGCCATTACTCCTTTCAGTGAGTAAAGTAGTAATAGGAAAAGGTAAGGTTCCAAACTACCCCTGTAGATATTTAAGCAGTGAAAAACGTGAGCTCTGCCTTCATAGTATTTAGAATAAAGATGGCCCCAGACAATGATTGTTATCATAAAAGATTCAGGAGGCCATTCCTTCTTGTATCTTTTAGCTGATAGGCATAAAAAACAAACTCACTTCTTTTGTGACAATGTAAAAGGTGGTGGGGACAGCATCTCTGGTTATCAAGTACCTAAGAAAAGTAACACATTACATTGCAAAAAAAAAGAAAAAGGTGTTTATTCCTTAGCTTCTGATTGAAGGTTATATTTTATTCAGCAATAAGAACTGTCAAATAAAGGTGACAACTTGTGGAGAAATGTCCAACTGTAATGTAATCTAGCAAGTAAGAGAACTAAGTACTAATTATTGATAGAGATAATTCACAAAACAGCTTTACACCATATTTACGCCATGTAGAAAATGTAAAAACTTTAAGTGTGTTGATAAGAAAACTCAATCATACTTGCAGAGTATACCAGAAATTAACATAGTATTCTTTTGGCTTCAGTCTGAAAGCATGTACGCCATATTCAGCTTGAAGCCATTTTGTAGTCATGCCCCTACTTTAACAAGAGTTCTAAAATTATAAACAATATATATTGAATAAAGTTCTTCTGCAGTTTGTATAGGATATTCTTGTCCCCTTCTCTATCCTTCAAATATAATAAATAAATAAATAAATAAATAAATAACAGACCTACATTCTCAGCAGGAAACAAATATCCACTGGAAACACTATAAAGGAATGAAACCAAGTGCCATTTGGGCTATTTCTTTAAGCCCACATAAACTAACATTAATCATCAACCTGGTCTCTTTCCTCATTTATTATCTGCACAGTCATCTCAGAAAGTAAGCAAAGTAGTCACAGAGAAACATTTACTTTAAGGCCTACTATTGGCATAGATGAACCATGAGGCCCATATGTGGCTAGTTCACATAACTAGGTCAGCATCAATTATGCAAGCTAGGAACTTTGTACAAGAAGTGCTTCCATCTTCTTTTCCATAAACAAAATCTAAATTATATTAATCTCCCCATATTACCAAGGAAACTATTTAAATAGGACCTGTGTTCCCAAGCTAAATAACAACTTTGAATTAAACCTGCACATTTCTTCAAAGCAGGAATCAACCAATGTAGGCCCCAAATGCCCATGGAAATAAATGTCTATGCACCAACTAGCAGGCAAGTGAGTAGAATTTACGATGTGAACAACATACAAGAGCCTTAAAAAAGAAAAAGAAAAAAAAAGCAATCAGTGTTCTTTATAATGAAAAGAGTGGACAAAGAAATCCTTTTGTTAGTTCAGCAATTATAAATTGGCATGAATTTATCATTCTGCTAATTAAAAAAGTTATTCAGGAATCCTTTATGTCAATTTCTAAATCAAAAGTCAAGGCTAGCTCATTTTTATAAACCATTTTAACATTTATATTCAATCTTCAAACTCAAGGTCATCCAAAAGGCTCTCAGGGCAGAAGTAAATTTTTCTTGAAAATCATTGAAGACACAAAAATGTCACAGCTAAAGTTAAATGGACTAGAAGCACAAGAACAAGTTATGCTATACACCATATTCTGCTAGCAAAAATAAAATTTAAAAACTATGCTAAGCAAGAAAATAAAGATAAATAACTTGATTGGAATCCTAGCTACATAACAAATGTTATTAGATAAACAACCTAAACACATGTTATTAGATAAACAACCTAAACTGTATTGATCATCATTATACCAAAAGGGGAAATATGGACAATCTTCCACTTAGACCGAACTGTTTTCTGAATTCTTTTTTTAAGTACGGCTCACAAATTTACTTTAATCACATGAATTTTTTAAAAACTCACACAAAAAAACCCTGTATATTCTACATATTGTCAATAAATAAATTGAAAATACTTTCCTTTTTCTTCAGTTTCATATTGATTTGTGTGGCCTGGCCTGCTTCAAGTTCCTCTTCCTTAATACTTTAACTAGATAATCTTGATATTTTGAAGTCCTGACTCTTATGACTAGTGAAATGACTAATGAAAAGAGTTGGTTTAACAATTCTGTCTGGGGGGAGGAGGGGAGGATATTCTCATCACTGGATTTAATGGAATTACAGTAAGTTGTGAGAAACAGAAATTCTACACAAGATCACTGGTGAAAACCCACATCCTAAGTGTAGGAAATCTCAGGTGATAAGCATTAGAAAAGAAAAAAATACACTTCGTTTTGTAGTAAACTTCTGAAGTATATGATTTAAAAAAAAGTGGAGGGGTGTGGTGTGAAGAAAAGCCACACATACAACTATAAGATAGCTACGCCAATTTTACACTTCATTTTACTTCCATTATAAAGTGGGATTGGTTTCCCTCAGTGGTTTGAACACTTCAGAGATCTCCACATTTATTTTTGGAGAAGAGAAGCACTCACTGTCTCTGGCAGGAGAGTGCCCTTGGGACTTTGGTTAAACTGCTCTTGACTGCTGAAAGCAGGTCAAAAGGGCAGTTTATGTTGTCATTTTAAATCCATGCCAAAATTATTCAGGAGTTCTAAGAATTCGTGCTACTGAAGGTTGCTTAGACTTATCCGTCCAGCAAAAATACTTTTAAGGAGTCATATCTGTCCATCATAAAGTGATACTTAGGCTATCTTAACATCTGTAACTTCTGTAATGGAAACACAAGGTAATTTGAATATTAAGCCAAATATTTCTTTATTAATTTAAAAAAAAACAACCAATGCATCACAATAAATTAAATGGCATGGACTGCTCCAAAATGTAGTTCAGAAAATTTGGGCTCTAATATCTTCTTTATCTTACCCTGCTAGGAAGAGAGAAAAGAAAATCAACTAGTCTACCCAAGGGAAAAAGAAACAACAAAAACTCCGAATGACTTCCCTTAGGTTTGATGGGAACCTTGTTTAGATGTGTGAATAGAGAAAAGAATATGGGAGCAGTGAAAAGTACTCCTTCTATTCCATCTCTTAAAACATTTTAGGTAATGTGGATACAACTCAAAGACTATTTCAAATCTGTACCTTTAGACTCCATTGAAGAATTTTCCTTTACATTCTATTCTACATCACCAGCACCTCTCCCCTCTTCTTTCCTCTTCTCTAAGATTCCAGCTAAAGAAGGTGCTTGTGTTAGTGGTCAATAAAGAGTGACTTAAGGTTGCAAGAAACTCTTAAAATTATTCCCAAGACATTTTATTAGAGTTGCATCTGTTCTTTTCCTAGAATACAAGGAAACCATTGTTGCTGTTTTTTCCAGGTCAAATACAACCTGTCACTTCAGTCGCTTATTCTGAAACCACCAGACAACCTCCTTTCCACCGCACTGATGGAGGGTGAAAAGGACTAAAAGGCCTTGTTGCACATTTCTAGTCTAAAGCTCGGAAAGGCTAAGGGAGCTTCAGAAACTCCAAATTTCCAGGCTATTTCCACCAGAGTATCGTCTTTCGTCACCTCCTGTGAAAACTCTAATCTACGGAAAGCGGTAGCTAAAAAGACATCACCAGCCACAGGCCTTGAGGTTACAATGCTTCTGGCAAAGCAAAATCCACGTCTTCACTTCTACACCAACCAAGGCGCTGTCTGCATCCTTCTCTATTCCGAGACCCTGAAGAGCTCGCTCTTGCGCGGCTCAGAATCGTAGGCTCGCTCGGCTCGCGGGCTGTAACAAACGAGTGTCCAGTTTGACACACGGCAGGAGGCACACCCTCCCGCCCGCGCAGCACTGGGGGTGACAGGGTTTCCCAAGCGCCGTCCGCCGCCGGGTCTCCACCTCCCAACCACCCTCTCCACTAACAGACCCCGGGTGTAGCCTACGTCTCCCTCTCCGCGACGTCCCGGGGTTGGGTAGGGCGCCGCGGGACCTCGTGAAAGAGAAATGCGTGCCTCTCTTCTACAGGCCCTTCGGCGGTCCCTTCTTCCCTCCGACTCGGCGCACCGCACTTGCTGGTCTGGCGCCTCCAGCCCGCGGTCACATTCAAGGCAGAGCTTGGGGTATCGACAGGAAACAGCCGCTGCCTGCGGGGCAGCCCGGGTGGGCCCTGCCGGTACTAGCTGTCCTCAGAAGGAAAGGAAAGCGGCGCAGAAAACGCAGACAGTGGCGGCGGGTCTCGGACTGAGGGAGTTGGGGAACCTAAACCTGTACCCTTACCTCTCTGGGGAACCCTGCCCGGTTAACCCTCCATTCCGCGGTCCGGGAGTGGTGGGGTGCGACCCGGCCTATAAATAGTATTATAAAAGGTTAAGAGAAATAAATGAAACGCACTCTAGGCTCTTACCTAGTGATGGTTATGTGCCTGGAAATTTTTTAATTAGCTAACGGAGGTCGGGGGAGGGGCTCCTTTGGTCTGTAAATAAAATTGCCTTCTCCGAAGTGTCTGATCTCTGGAACAAGCAGTTAGAACAGTTCCTCGCTCGCTTGATGGAAATTCTCGAGAATTGTCGCCCGCAGTGGGCCAGATGGAGAAGAGAGAGGAAGTTTTTCCATCTGACTGACGGCAGTTCTAACCAATCCGCGCTTGGAAGGCGGCGCGCCTAGCGAGCAGCACACCAATCACAGATTTCGATGGAAACGAGCGTCCCCCGTAACTACAATCTGAGTTGGCTATAGAGTTAACTGTGCACTGTGGAGCGACATCCACCTGGGCCAGTAGCGGCTCGCGGTGACACCCCGAAGGCCTTGGCGCGCTGGCCAATGAAGAGGAAACTCGGTGGTGGGTGGGCTCAAGAGGCAAGTACTAATCGAGTGTCGACGACAAGGGACAGAGCGGGTATCGCTTGAGGTAAAGGGGCTGTAGTCGTAACAACTAGGAGACTGAAAACGGAATGCTAACTTTGCCTGGGCAAAGGCGCTTGAAAGGCATCTGGTTCATTGTTATTCTTTGAAAAACTCAAGGTGAGCGTTCTGCATAACTGAACACGCATCTCGTGATCTCTTGGAAAAGTCGACTCATTCATTCGACAAATATTTGTTTATCTAGGATCTTTGGTATGCCAGGCATTATGCTAAGCACTGGAGATACACTCGCTACTCAAATAGACATGATAGCTGCCTTCATAGGCAAACAGGTAAGCAAGCAAATAAAATAACAAATGTTAAGGGAGGAAATGGGCAATGTATGGATATAAAAAAATGTTAGGAGGTTGACATTAGATACGGAGGGTTGTTATAGGAGACCTTTATAAGATAATATTTAAGTAGAAGTGGGAAGAGTAAGAAAGAATCAGTCAACCCTGAAACCAGGAAAGTAATGATTTTCTGGGTGGAAGGGAAATCAAAGCAGACAGCATGCCATTTTAGAAGAACAGAAGGAAGGAAGGCCAGCGTGGCTTGATTATAGAATTAAGGAGAGAGCAGTATGACATTAGGTGGATGAGGTAGGCAGAAGCCAGACCATGAAGCCAAATCTTGGAGTTTGCATTAATTTTAAATTTGCCTTGGCCAGGTAGCTCAGTTGGTTGCGGGTTCTATCCCCCAGTCAGGACACATACGAGAATCAACCAATGAATGCATAAATAAATGGAACAACAATCAATATTCTCTCTCTCCTCCATCAAATCGATAAATAAAAATTCTTTAAAAATATTTTAAATATAATGGGACTCTATTGAGGCATTTTAAGGAAAGGAGTAAAACGATCTGATTAAGACTTTAAATCACTTTGGTTAATGTGTTGAGACCAGGTAGAATAGGCTATTGGAAGACTGGTTAGGAGACTGTATCAGATGAGACTCAATGTACGAAATGACATGGCTTAACCTATGGTATCACGGGAGGTAGGGAAAAGCAGAGAGATTCCACCAAGCTGGTGTGGCTCAGTGGACTGAGCACCAGCCCCCAAACCAAAAGGTTTGATTCCTGGTCAGGGCTTCTGGTCAGGCTAGGTCCCAGCTGAGGAGGCAATGCATCACACATTGATGTCTCCCTTTCTTTCTCCCTCCCCTTTCCATCTGTCTAAAAATAAATAAATAAAAATCTCTTTAAAACGAGAGAGATTCAAGATTTTAAAGATAAATTATTAGCTTATTTTGACATGTTAGGTATCTTGATTCCAAGACAACTTTTTTTATTCAATTTATTGGGATGACATTGGCTAATTAAATTATATAGGTTTCAGGTATACGATTCTACAATACATCATCTGTATATGTATTGTGTGTTTACCACACCAGGCCAAGACACCTGTTTTGAATCCGGTTCATTGAATACTCTCTTTGAAGAGTGATTCTCACATTGATGGCTCGCAAATTCTAATAATGATATTTGAGGATTATTACATGTGTTGAAATTTATTTTTCATGGGCTTCCTGAATTTTTTTCTGTTTTTAACTTTTTATTGAAGTATTTTACATGCGTGTTTGTATATGCATATACAGAAAAGTATGCATGTCCCAGGTGTATACAGCTCAATGAATTTTCACAATCTGAACACGCCTGTGTGTCCAGCACCCAGATCAAGAAACAGAACATTATTGGCCCTGGCCAGGTAGCTCAGTTGGTTAGAGCATCATCGCCATAAGCCAAGGTTGCAGATTCTTTCCCTGTGAGGGCACATACAAGAATCAACCAATGAATGCATAGGTAAGTAGAACAGCAAATTGATATCTCTTTCAAATCTGATTAAGAAGGAAGGAAGGAAGGAAGGAAGGAAGGAAGGAAGGAAGGAAGGAAGGAAGGAAGGAAAATATTAACACCAAGGGACCCCATCATACTGCCTTTTCAGTCATTGCCTATCCTGACTTTCAACAACACAGATCAGTTTTGCCTGTTTTTGTACTTGTATACATATAGAATCATGCAGTATGCATTCTTTTGTGTTTGACTTCTTGGCAACAAGGAACTGTTCACGTGGGAATTTTAAGCTTCCCAGTATAAACATTTTGAATTATCCTTGGCATTTTGACTTCTTTTAAAGCACTTGCAATCTGTAAGCTCAGAATTGAGATCATGCCTTAGCTATATTCTTTTACTATAATACTGCAATCCACAGTCATATGACAAGCAAGGTCAATTAGGCTGTCCTATGAATATGAATATGTTTGATGTTAATACAGTTTTTTGAATTACTATTGAAAGCCATACCATTCTACATTGTACCAGAGTTGATTACAAACAAAGCCAGCAGTTTACTTCTTCTTGAATTACATACTTCTGCTCTTTGAATCTCCGAAGAAAGGCTTAATGTAGTACAATGTACATCTACTCAGCATGAGAGATCACCATATGATGTCCAAAGAAACAAGTGAACATGATATCCATGGCTTTTTAAAAAAACTTGAGCTCCTTTTGATTTCACTTTATATTTTAGAGAATTGAACTACTTGATAATAGTAGTGACTATCAGGAAATTATACCCAAAACAGGTCATAAAGCTTTGGGTAGGTGTATGACATGGGAGCTTATAAAATATAAAGTGATGATGTATGAGTTTTGAGTAAACCATTTGAGATTTAGGCTAATGAACTACCATGATGAAACTGCTAAAAGATAAACTGAAGCATATTAAACATTTAAAGAGTTTATTTGAGCAAGTATCAATTGGAATTGGGTGGCACTAAATCAGAAGCGGTTAGGAGCACTGCACCAACAAGAGCTAGAGGCAAGATTTTATAGAGAAGATGCAAAACCAAACACGGAAATTATTTGATTGGCTATAGCCTAAGCAATTACCTTTGAGGAACAGTGAAAAAATAAAATGGAGTCGCTGTAGTCAAGCTGCTAAATTACTCAAAGCAAATAGCTTGAGGTGTGAGGAAATGGTTTTATTCTTTAAAAAAATTTTATTTTTCTTTTGTTGATTCCAGAGAGAGGGGAAGGGAGAGAGAAAGAGAGGGACAGAAACATCAATGTGAGGCAGAAAACATCAACTGGCTGGCTCTGGCACATGCCCAGACTTGGGACCAAATCTGCAATCCAAGCGTGTCCCCCAACCAGGGACTGAACCCACAACCTCTAGGATTATGAAACAATGCCCAACCAACTGAGCCATACTGACCAGGGCTGATTCTGTTCCTATTTTAACTAGCCTAGAAACTTAAACTTTTGAACTTCCCAGAGATAGATAGATAGATAGATACATACATACATACCTACATACATACATATACATATGTGTATGTATATGTATATCTCTCTCAATTTATTGTGTGTCAACACTGGGACATATACCAGACTATGTTATGCTGAACATCTGACTGACAACTCTCCTGGGCCAACCTAGGGCTAAGAATGCAGGACTGATTATTCTCAAGAAAATACTTTTTGTTATAAGAAATCTTAGATTTTCATCTTCATCTTATTTGGGAAACTCTAGTTGACTCTCTATGATTGGTTGTCCTTTCTATTTCTCAATCTTAGGCAATATAGGCTTAAGTTTTGGTTTGTTTAAGTGAGCTACTAAGGCATTAATATCTAATGAACCCTTGTTTAATATAAGCTAACACTACCCATTTTCCTAATTAGTTACTAATATTCCTGGAAGCCATGTAGTGTGTAATAATAAATCGATAATGTCACCGAACCAAAGTGGGATTCGGCTGCCTGCCACCACCAATAGGCAATTTCCGGAGGCACGAGTTCATGAGAAAAGAGGTCTTTTTTCAAATACTCAATGAATGGAGGGACTCCCCATCTCCAGATTCATCAGGCTCATCTCTCCTGCAAGACACAGGCAAAACCAAGCAGGCCCCAGCAAGACCCAAACGAAAGGCAGTGCACAGAATTTCCGTTCCATCCTTATTTGTCTTTTGGAGCCACGGATCACTAGGCGGGCGGTTGTCCTGTTGGGCTCCTTTCCGGAGGCCACATGTGTTGTCAGCTCCACCATTGGCCATGTGTCTTCCAGAGCCAGAAGATCCCACAAACACTGACCAACACCTCCGCCAAGTGGGGACGTGCCCCTTCCTCCCCCTGAGTTTTTATAAGTTACCCATGTGGGCCAGACCAGGTGCTTTTTCTCAGTCCAAACTTCTGTGTTCTCTGGGAGGCTGTGGCCCCCAGCCAATCCCTTCTTTATTCCAGACTAGACTGACAGATTTTTCTGGTGTAGCACCTCCCGCTGCCAGCATTTGGATCTCTGTAACATATGTGCTTGCCTTTCCCAGCTCCCACCCCTAGTCAGGGACCAGAAGTGGGTAACACGGCTTTTCCCTTATCCAGTTATTTTTGCTAGCTTTTCTTGTGCTCAGTGCAATGTTTCCTCCTACCACCATCTTGCCCAGGAATGGGAGGATCTCTCCTCAGAAGCATCAGCAGAGCATTCAAAAGGCACTAGTTTGATTACCCGGGCAACGCAGCCTCACTCGCTGTCTTGGGTGGTTGGCGGTCCCCTCCAGCAGCTCCACCTTTCCTTGCAGTATCAATAATTTAATTACGATTCACTGGTGAATAATCAATTATTTTCTTTAAAAAAAAATTAAAGATGGATGTTTCTGTATGCTTATGAAGTGTCCCAGAGTATGCCATCCCAAAATATGTCTC